CTGGGTGACTGACTGACGGTAGGTGGCTGGGATGCTGTGTCCCTAGTGGACAGGTAGGGTGCTGTACACTCGACATGCAAGAGGCAGAGGGGCTCCAGGCTGCAAAAACTTGTGGGGAGGGGCGCCTGAGTGGCTCAGTCGTTAAGCGTCTGCCTTCGGCTCAGGTCATGATCCCAGGGTCCTGGGATCGAGCCCCGCATCGGGCTCCCTGCTCCGCGGGAAGCCCGATTCTCCCTCTCCCACTCCCCCTGCTTATGTTCCCTCTCTCTCTGTGTCTCTCTCTCTGTCAAATAAATAAATAAAATCTTTAAAAAAAATAGCCTTAGTTTCTAAAATGTGAATGATGCCCATCTTTTTAGACCCTCTTCCCATCACCTTCAGAAGACAGGAAGCCAGGCCAGAGTCCAAATGGGTTGGACCTAGCCTTGTCCTACTAATTCCTTGCTATGTCATCTTAAGAAGTACCTCACTTCAGGGCGCCTGGGTGGCTCAGTCATTAAGCGTCTGCGTTCGGCTCAGGTCATGATCCCAGGGTCCTGGGATCAAGCCCCACATCAGGCTCCCTGCTCAGCAGGAAGCCTGCTTCTCCCTCTCCCACTCCCCCTGCTTGGGTTACCTCTCTTGCTGTCTCTCTCTTTGTCAAAAAATAAATAAAATCTTAAGAAAAAAAGAAGTACCTCACTTCTCTGAACCTCACTTTTCTCACATGTATAAGGGAGACAGAGTTGCTGATGTAAAATTGCTTTGAAAGCTCTAAAGAACTGCCTAAATAGAGGGGTGTACTTTGGACCCATATTTCAGAGTCTCAAACTCATGACTCTTCAGGTCAATTTTAGTTTTCAGATATGCTTTACAGAGTGTTTTAATGTTCTGAGTGTAATTAATACTTTAGGCAGAAGAATGAAGTCTCCTACTTGCCATAGGCCCCACCATTCCTAATTGTCTTGCACTGGGTAACTTTGTGCATTTGTCATATTTGTCTGGCTCCTGGGGGTAGTTGAATCTGTGACTTCTTGTTCCTACATTTGGGTGGTAGTGGGTGTTCTCTCCTGACCAGCATTTCCTCTGCCCACTGAGTGTCTGGCCCTGTACTGGGTAAAATGAGAGAGACAGCAGAGAAGATGACAGTCTCTACTCTCAAGAATTTAGTCTCATTGGGGGTGATCTGTGAGCTTGTGAAAATCAGGGCAGTGTTTTGATGTCACAAGAGAAGGTGGTCAAGGGTCAGATCCGATCCACTGGGCATCAGGGAGGACTTCCTAGATAAGATGTCATTTGAGCCTGACCTTGAAAAATTTAGGCGTGAAGGGTGGGCAATTCAGGAAGATGACCCAGCCACAAAAGGTTGAGGGTTGCGGGGATAGTGAATAGATCAGCTTATCTTCTTTATGAGGGAGCAGATTGAGATAGATAAGTCACCTGGAACCAGGTGGCCAAAGGTTCAGCATTCCAGGCTGGATAGTGGGATTAGTTTGGAGGTGACAGGGAGCTCCTGAGAGTTGTTGAGGAGGGATGGGCATGGTCCAGGCTCCACTAGAGGCTGGAATTAGAGAAGCCCGAGCAGTTGTAATGAGGACTATTGGCCAGGAGGTGGCAGTGGAGTTAGAGGGAGAGACATTGCAGAGGAAGCGTTAGCAGAACTTGGCAGTTGATTGCTAGTGATAATGATCCTCTAAACAGCCATTCTTCTTGCCTTCTGTGAAGCCTTTCCCAGTCTCCTCCTACCTCCTACCTCCCTGGATGCCCCTTCTCAGTCTCCCTCACAGGCCACTTCTCCTGGACCCGTCCATCAATTGTAGGCATTCCTCAAGATTCTTCCCGCAATTGCCTTCTCTCATCCAACACATCCACAAGGGCAGAGGCAGATACCCTGAAGCTAAGGAAGTTTAAGCTTCTGGACCCCTTCTTTACAGGGACCCTCCGTTGCTAGAAGTATCTGGGGGTTATAGAACGGTCTAGATGAAGTGGAGAAACCCCGTCTGCAACCAGAAAGCATTTGCATATAAACATTTCTGGTAATTTGCTGAAAGGGATCTCAGAAGAAAAAGGCATTTTGTCATGATTTCATTG